ATATTTCGATAAAATTGTATACAAAAAACTTTAGAATTAGTTTTTTGGTTTGATGATTGTACATTTCGTGTGTTTATCCATGCTGGATCAATAAAAGAGCATTGACGATTTGCTTCAATAGCTCATAAGAAATATTACTTGATGTTTTTGATGATGAAAGTTTCTGTTTGATAGCACGACTCACATGCTATTTGCAAAGTTGTATATTTACATCTTTCCATACGGCCTGAGCACTTGAGATTTGTGCAAAATCCTTATCGGATAAGAATGTTTTAATATTATTAATACCATGATTGCGCAAACATAAAAACCATTTGGTTAAAATCGATCTCATATCACGGTTTTTATTGGGAGCAATATAAAGGTAAGAAACTGGAAACCCCGTATAGTCAATAGTTGCCATTAGAACATAAAGTTCATATTTTAATTTATTTGTATTGTAAGTAGCGTCAACTAAAAGACGCTTATATGCCATTTTTGGCAAAAAAGAAAAAAATGGCATTAAAAATGCAAATGAATCAACTAGCTCTAATGAACGAAAAAGAAAGAAAGAATTCTTTTCTTGTAATAAAAGTTGAGCCGATAAAGATTCACTATCATGCCGTTTATACCGAATTATATTGGCTTTTGACCACCAATAATAGACCTGATCCGTGGTTAATGTCTTAAATCCATCCATTTCATTTATTACAATTTTTTTATATAATTCGATGCTGTATAATCCAAATTATTTGTAATAAATTCTTTTATTTCATTTGTGGTGGTAATGTTTTCTGGTCGTGTATGTAAAAGTTGGTGATTTATTTTAATAACTGCAAGGTTGCTCTTATTATCTACTTTAATTGAAACATCGCCGTTACAGTCATATCGATTAAGTCTGGGTACTGTGTCACGTTGTTTTTCTTTATCTAAATGTTTCCGTGATTTTTTAACAGTATCTATACGGCAATTACATCTATAAATAACTGTAACACATTTTATTTTTTTGTGCATAATTTTGGTGTGATATATATAACGATATCCATCACCAGCTTGAACTTTTTCAATTAACTTATTTGCAATGGAAGATTCGGATAAATTGCTGCTTTCTTGAAAATCCAAAAGGTCTGTAAAATCAACACAATACTCGAAAAAGAATCCAGCATCACCCTCTAAATTTTCATCAAGTTCCGGTATTGAAATTAATGAATCGTAGATGGCTTGTGTTAGATTACTTGAAGGAATAGAATTTTCCTTTGAGTTAAAAATTTTTTTTTCATTCTCTTTTTCATATCACCGTTTTGAATTTGTTCTTGCACATTCTAAATATTCATTACAGCTTCTTTTTTCTTCAGAAAAATTTTCGATGTTTTTAAATGAGTGACAACTTTTGCAATGCTTGGTTATTTCATTTGACATTGTATAATGTAATCAGCAACGTTTGAGAGAAAAGCAAAAAAATTTATTTTATTAAAAATTGATTATTATACAATAATAATCGTCGTCATTATTACTGCATTATAAAACCTGCATTTTAAATTTAAACTCAGTTTCGTAACATTTTTTTAAGGTATACTAGGTTCGTGGGCTATTAGAGCCGTAGGAGTTTAAAAAAATTAAAGCTAATAGCAGGAATTAAAGCTAAATTCGGGCAGAATTAAGAGTAATTTTGG